GATGTTGATGATGATGATGATGACGATGATGATGATGATGCTGCTGATACTGAAGATGATGATGATGATGATTATGATGGTGTTTATTGTTGTTGATGATGATGACGCGATGCTTGTTATGATGATTCTGCTGCTGCTGATGATGATGATGATGCTGATGATGATGATGATGATGATGATGATGATGATGATGATGATGATGATGATGATGATATTATTTCTAGTATCATTATCATGATTACCATTCGTATTTTTTTTATTTATTATGATGATTGTGATGATGAGGATGATGATGCTGATGATGATGATGATGCTGCTGCTGATGATGATGATGATGATGATGATGATGATGATGCTAATGAGGAGGAGGAGGAGGAGGAGGAGGAGGAGGAGGAGGAGGAGGAGGAGGAGGAGGAGTAGAGGAGGCAGAGAGAATTTGATGCAGAGCACCACGAGCAGGCATAGCTGCTTGCGACTACGTGTGCGTGCCGAAGTTTTGTTTCCTATCCGCGCCCATAGACCGCTGTGGCAAAAGCCTTTGCCATTACCGATGTAGTCGTATTGCTTGGCAGCTCCTCGGATACAGCCGGTGTGGCCAGCACTGAGAGCCCCAGCCCAGCCAATCCTCAGTGGAGCACGTTATTCTAGGCAGCAACTTCGGGTCTGCTCGGTAATGGCCCGACTGCGTATATCCCCATTTCAAGCGAGCGCAACCAAGCTTTCTGGCTTGTGGTCTCCCATGTCCTTCTTGCGCACCTTCCCGAATCATTTTATGATTCGCTAGCTATCGGTGCGAATATCCAGATCGATGTCACCCTCAGGGGACGAGCGATGGAACGCGTGTGTTCAGTTGCGCTGCTCCACATGGGGAAGCAGTTTAACGATGCTGTATCGTAGAATGCGATCTTGTTGCTATTGCTGTTTCCAGTGTGTTGTGTTCATGAGGTGCCTTCCAATTCGTGTTGTTTTGATTTTTTGGTTCGGTGGCAGTTGCGCGCCCTCTCCGCACTGCTTTGGATCTTCCGCGGCGCCTGCAGACGCTCTGCAGCCCCTCTGGGGCCGTCTTGAGGCTCTCTTGTGGCGTCTTGCCCCACTCTCGGATCTTGGCGTCAGTTGTAGGGGGCTCTCAAGCTTCTCAGGAGCAAACAGCATTCGCAGCATGGGGAACAACGTCATGACACCCTTGCTGCAGAAGTCCGCAAACAGCTTTGCACCGTCACGGTGTGGGCCACAATGGGGGGATCGGGACGGGGATAGGGATAGGGATAGAGGCAGAAGGATCGGGATAGGGACAGGGATGGGGATAGGGATGGGGACGGCAATGGGAGGCCACATAAGGCCACGGGCGGCCACGGGAGGCAACGGGAGGCCACGAGAGGTCACACCGCCTGGCCGATCCGGGATCTGGCGAGGCACCCTACGGAGAGGCCACGGCAGGCCAAGGGAGGCCACGCCGCTCCACCGATTCCGGATCCGGCGGCCCACCTATTGGTTCCCTCGACGAGGTCTATACCCTTTTTTCGGTCAAGCTGTTCTGTAGGGAATCCTGTGTATTCTGGTTGAGGCCAGCCGCTCCCCACCCCCAGCCTGCAGTGTAGTAACATATTCTGGCAGGCAGAGACTGGAACGATGACGGTGACAGCAATCTGGATCGTCGTAGGGCAGGCCATGGAATTTTCAGTGGGTGTGCAGATGAGGATGTCGAACTGCGCGCGATGACGAGTAGGATGGTGACGATGATGATGGCGATCACGGTTGGTCGTGACGATGATGCGAAGCGTCCTGTCCGACGTCGTGGGTTTTTCAATACGGGGTCCTCAGAAGTCCCGGCCCTGGTCCCGAGGCCGGTCTTGCTTCCCGATTGGCGTTCTTCGACGGCCCCGGAGCCCGGCGAGGGCGCCCCCGGAGGCTGACAACTACGAGACAGTTTGTCTCAGAGGTGCCCCTGGCCCCAGGTGCCCCCCCGGCCTTCCAGTCACTTCCTCGTGCTCCTGGGGCCCCCTGGGCCTGGTGCGGGGTGCTCTGGAGGCCGTGGGGGGCTCCATGGGAATTTCGGGCCGGGCGAAAGGGGGGGATTGGGAAAGGGGGGGTTACGGAATTTGCTGCATGCAGCTGGTTTCGGCCTCACCAAGGGGCCCATTCCTCGATACACAGCCGCCTCCGGCGCCGGGAGGCGCCGGGAAATTCAGCTACGTGAGCTGATTCTCGATCCCCCCCTTTGCTATCCCCCCATTTCGCCCGACCCGAGAACTCTGGGGGCACCTTGGGCCAGGAACACTTCGAGCAGCACCCGACAATACGTTGGAGGCCTGGGACAGAGGGACGGGGACGAGGAAGGGCATCCGATGCGGGAATGTATACATGACCACCGCCTGGAGGATCAATTTTCGGGGACCTCGGCAGGCGGTGGATGTGGATACATTCGGGCTCCCGGGGGCAACATATAATCATATCCTCTGCCCGCTGGGGCAGCAGCACGTCGTCTCCCAGGCGGTAGACATGGAGAAATCCCCGCCTCGCAGAAGGGCAGGATAAGCGGAGAGGGCAGGTGATCGACTCATTGGCGGTTGTGCGGTATGCCGCCAACGGCAGGGAGACGGGTTGCGCAGTCTGCCTGGTGGACTTCGAGGAGGAGGAGTCTTTGCGCGAGCTTCCCTGCGGCCACAAGTTCCATGCGCCGTGCATCGACAGGTGTCGGCCTCGCGCAGAGGGGGGGTAGGGGGAGGCAGGAAGGCTTCCGAGGAAACACCCCTCTTCCTTAGGAGGCGCGGGCCTCGTCTGCAGATGTAAGGCCCGCGCCTTCGAAGAGGCAGCCTCCTTTTAAGAAACCATTCCCCCCTCCTCCTGCCCCCCTCTGCTTGCCGCCACAGGTGAGCGACGCAGGAAAACGGGTTCGACTGCGCAGACATTCGACGAGGAGGAGGAGGAGGAGGAGGAGGAGGAGGAGGAGGGAGGAGGAGGAGCAGGAGGAGGGGGAGGGGGAGGAGGAGGAGGGAGGAGGAGGAGGAGGAGGAGGAGGAGGAGGAGGAGGAGGAGGAGGAGGAGGAGAGGCTGCCCGCATTGCGTGAGCGCCCTCTTCTTCACGAGGCGTGTCCCGCTGGCGGCCCGCGCAAGCCACCGCGTAAAAGCTCGCGGCGCCATCGCTCGTAAGACCCGTTTCTTTTCGTCGCTCAGGTGGCTGCCAGCAAACTAACATCAGGAGAGGAACAAACACACAGACACACTTAATCCTCGATTCCCCCAGAAAATATGGGAAATATGGGAAGTGGGGGGGAAGACACAAACCCAGAAAATAGGAGAAACTATGGGGAATTATTTTATTTGTGTGTATTTATTTGTGTGTCCTGGGGCCCCTTCAAGTTCTCTTTCCTCCAACCTTCGCCGGCTCCATCGGACCGCGAGGAGTCGGTGCCACTATCCCTCGGTTGGGGGCTATCCGTCCTCTGTCTTCCTCCTCTTCCTCCTTCTCCTCCCCTTCTCGTGCCTGTTCGGATGCTCTGTCCCGTTCGCGCTCTGTTCCGTAGGCCCCCTGCATGTTCTTTATTGTCTGCGGTGATGTCAGCGAAAGAGCTAGGAGAGGGGTGAGGCAAGGAGGGGCGGGTGGGGTGGGTGGAATCGGGTGGAAGTGGTGGGAACAGGTGATGATATTGATGATGATGCTGATGATGATGGCGACGATGACGATGAGGACGACGATGGCGATGACGATTCCAACAATGATGATGCCATGATCATGCTGATGATCCTGGTGATGGCGATGGTGGTGATGATGATGACGATGATGATGATGATGACGATGATGATGATGATGTTGATGATGATGATGATGATGATGATGATGATGATGATGATGATGATGATGATGATGTTGTTGACAATGATGATGCTAATGAGGCTGATGATGAGGATAATGCTGATGATGATGTTGTTGATGATGATGCCGACGATGACGACGATGACGATGACGATGATGATGACGATGACGACGCTGATTATGATGCTGTTGGTGATGCTGATTATGATGGTGGTGCTGTTGATGATGGCTGGTGGTGGTGGTGATGATGCTATTGTTGATGAGGGTGATGATGCTAACGACGATGAGGAGGAGGAGGAGGAGGAGGAGGAGGAATATGATGATGATGCTGATGATGATGCTAATGCTGATGATGATGCTGATGATGATGATGCTGATGCTGATGCTGATGCTGATGCTGCTGATTATGCTGCTGCTGATGATGCTGCTGCTGATGATGATGCTGCTGATGATGATGAAGATGATGATTATTGTTGTGGTGGCGATGATGCGATTGTTGATGAGGGTGATGAGAAGCATCAGGATGGTGGTGATGATGGTGCCGCTCGAACTCTCAAACGAGGGCTGGGTCTACACCTGTCTCGGGGCTCAGGTGCACGTGGCGAGGCGGACCGCGACGGCGCGCACGATCGGGGCTTGCAGCAGCCCGCGCGGAGGCGGAGGGTTGCCGCGGTGGCCGCGCGGCTGGGAGGGCGCCGCTCTGGGTGCGGTGCTGTTGGTCAGGCGCGCCGCAGGTCGCCCACCGCCGCCATCAACGGGCGGACCAGAGCGACGTAGCTGGGCCGTTTTTTTTTTTTTTTTTTTTTTTTTTTTAGTTGTTTTTGTTTTTTTTATGTTTGTTTTTTTTTTCCATTCAGAAGGCAGCCGGATTCCGCTGATGACCTGGTGTGTCGCCTCGTGGCGTGGCTCTGAGGATGCCAGCGCTCATCGGGGGAGGGTCGGCGCCACCCCAGCATACCAATGCCATGTGTGCGCCCGCCCCCCCCCAGGGGCGACGCGCGCACCGAGAAATCTCAAATTACATGCGTCGTGGCGGGCGCTTTCTGGCCACACCTCTCGGGAAACGATCTGCTACAAGATGGGTATGCTGTGTGTTCGAGTCGGACGCGCGCCTCCAAGGAGGACATTAGTGTGTCTCTGTGCGTCCCAGAGGGAGGGTGAGCGAGGCGGCGCCGCGCGCCGCGCTGACCCCGCCGAGTGCGAGGGCGGCGCCGACGACGCGCTGGAGGACCAGCGGCGCAGGCCGCTGCTGGCCGAGCTCCTCCGATGTGGCCCCTCCCTCGCCGTGCCCCACGTGCGGCCTGACTCGACTGCACGTAAGAGTGACCTCTCGCCGTGCTGTGGGCACAATGGGGTCCCCCGATCACCCATTGCGATGCGATAGTCGCGTCTTGCGCGCCTGGGTTTGGTATCCCCGCGGCCCCCCAAAAGCCGCGCACCAAAGGTCACTCTCACCCAGGGCCACTCTTGCGTGTAGCCGACGGACGCCGGGCCCGATGCGTTTCGGCGGGGCGATCGGCGGGCGCCGCCGCAGAGGGCGGCGCCCTCCGAGGCGCCCCTCGGCTCGCCGAGCCTGCCGCTGGCGGGCGCGCTCGTGACAGTGGGCGGGCCCGGCGCGAGCAAGCGGCAGCTCGGCGAGACCCTGCACGGGCGGGCCGCCCTGCAGGGGCCGCGCGCGCTGTCTGCTTCGTGCGGCGCTATCCACGGGCTAACTACTGCAGCGGGTCGTCGCTCGTCGCTCGTCGCGTCGCGTGCGCGCGGGCGCGGCTGTGGTGCTGGAACCACACGGCGGGGGGGGGTGTTACGTCATACCCCCCCCGCCCCCCCCCCCCTATGACGCCCGCCATCGCCGAGCATGAAGAAACGCTCTCTTACTGTAGCGGGTCGGGTGAGCTCGTGGCGCTGCGCGGCGGATCAGATGCGGGGGGGGGTCTGTGCCCGGCGGGGTCCGCTCGAGGACGGCGCGCGCCCGCCGAGCGAGGTGCCAGTGCGCTTCGTTGGGGTCTCGCAGCTCCTGGGCCACCGTGGGCCCAGCTGTGCGGCGTGGGGGCGCGGACCGCCCTGGCCTCGCCTTCCCCTCTCCGACCGCGAGCATACCGCCTTGGTGCACAATCGGCTGGCCTGCAGCCCTCTCCCGCCCGAGCGCGGTGTGAGCCACATCGCGGTGTGAGCCACATCCCCGCGGGCAGCTCGGGCCCCGCCGCTGCTGCCGGCCAGGCGAGCTGCGGACTCTGCGACAGGGCCGGCCGGAGGCGGGGCCGGGCGCGCCACCGCAGCGCCTCGGGCGGCAGTCGGGGCTCTGCGTTCGGCGGGGCTGATGCACGCACGCCCCGGGCGCGCGCACGCGGAAGCTGGCGGTGGGAGACCGCCTTCCCGTGGACGCGGGGAGGCAGGCAGCCGCCTCGGCGGTTTGTTGGGGGTCGCGGTGCTGCCTTCGCTTGGCAAGCACGGGAGCTTGCAGCAGTGAGAACAGGTGCTGTTGCTTGTGAGAGGAGGCGAACATGGAGGAAGAGAGGGAGTGGAAAGCAACGAGTGATGATGATGGTGGTGGTGGTGGTGCTGATGCTGCTGCTGATGATGCTGATGATGATGTTGATGCTGCAGCTGCTGCTGCTGATGAATATGCTGCTGCTGCTGCTGATGCTGATGCTGATGCTGATGCTGATGCTGATGCTGATGCTGATGCTGATGATGATGATGATGATGATGATGATGAGGAGGAGGAGGAGGAGGAGGAGGAGGAGGAGGAGGAGGAGGAGAAGAGAGGGAATAGTGGAGGAGAGGAGAGAGGGAACGACGGGCGCCGTTCAAGCCTCAGCGCAAAGCCTCCAGCCAGGAACTGCAGCCATCGTGGCAAAGTCGTTTGTGCCCCCACCCTGCGAGTTCTGTAGCGGGCCATGCGTCCTGCCTCGATCTCCCCTCACTTCCTCCGCCGCCTCCACCTCCTCCTCCCTCGGCCTTCAAGGTGGCTTTTGAAGAGCAGCCGATGTCCACTCTGTATGCAAGAAGTGGATCTTCCTCACCCAGCACATGCCTGCTCGAGGTGCAACGGAGATAGGGTGGCAGACGGGGGATCAGAGACGGCAGGGCGCTGGTGAAGCGATGTCTCCGTCGCCTTGTCCCGCTTCCTCTGACATCGAGCATCCTCATCTTTCTGTCTTCGTTGCTACACCGCGCTTAGCATCTCAACCATGCGTTCGGACCGAGGTATAAGATCGAGGTCAGCTCGGGGAGGGTGCACTCGTGTTCTTCGTGCTCGCTGGATGTTCTCGCGCATCCTGGGGAGGGTTCCCTTGGCTGCTCCGTGCGTCTTGGCTGGCGTAGGGTCGCAGGTTCTCGAAGGATGTTCCCCTGGCTTAGGTCTAAGTCGGGCCTGTCCCTCTCCAGGGGGGGAATGCAAAAATGGTCAAAGAATAGTCTGGGGACGATTTTTGGATTACCTTTCTTGGACCATTCTGGAGTATTTTTGGGGTATTGTTTTTATCTTTCGTCGAAAAGCCCCCCGGTGGGGGGGACACGCCCGACTTACGCTCAGGTCCATTTGTATTCGGGGGGTGTGCAGGGCCGCCCCGAGCCGCCGCCGGAGGCCCGAGCTGCGGCCCGAGGCCTGAGCGACTCGAGCGGGGGCCTCGAGGGCTTCGAGGACTTCGAGAGGGCGTCGAGGGCTTCGAGAGGGCTTCGAGAGGGCTTCGAGAGGGCTTCGAGGGCTTCGAGGGCTTCGAGTGGGGGCCTCGAGGGCTTCGAGAGGGCGTCGAGGGGGCTGGAGTTACGATGCGCCAACCTTTAGCCTTGCTCACCATCAAGAATTTCGAGCGCCAGAAAAATAGGGGGCCACATGTGAACCCTACCCCGACCCCCCACGATTTCTGAGGGGCAGGGTGGGGTTCACTTCGCTCGGGAGCTCCCAAACGAAGTGAACCCCACCCTCCCCCTCAGAAATCGTGTGGGGTAGGGGTAGGGTTCACGTGTGGCCCCCTAAAAAAGTACCGAAACTCACGGGTTTTCACGTGTCGGGGTCTACATCTTGCTGCTTTCCCCGCGCTGCGCTTCGCAGTCCACCTTTCAACCTTTTCTCCCTGCCCGAACTCTTTTTTCTGCCGCAGGCTCTGCCACCAAGTGGCCGCCATGGAGTCCTGCGAGTGGTGTCGATGCCGCCTGTCTGGTTGGCAGATGTGCTCCTTCTGCCTCTGCCTCCGCCTCCGCCTCCTCCTGCTCCTCCTCCTCCTGCTCCTCCTCCTCCTCCTCCTCTTCCGCCCTCCGCAGGGGCACGGTGTCGTATCCTGGCACCGGCGCTACCTCAAGCGGAGGGCATACTGTCAGGGTTCTGGCCCAAGTCGGCGGAGACAAGAAGGCGGCCGTTGCTTTTCGTGGTGGAGGGTTCGACTCCCTCTCATCACGTTCTTTTCATGTCAGGTGTGGCACGTGTTTGCCCTCCTGGGTCTGCGTAGCCGGCCCGCAGAATCATGGTCGGCGCAGCGGGGTCCGCGGTATCAGGACCTGTGTCGTCTCCAGAGGCGAGGATGCGGTTCCTCGCAGCACCACCGGAGCGACACACCGCCTCAAGGAAGGCGGCCGCGAGTGGGCCAGGCGTCTTGCCCTTGTCCCGTTCCGTCGCACTTTTTCGCCTAAGTGCTCCCTTCGGGGATGCGACGTTCGTTGTCGCTTATGCACAGCTCCCACAGCTCCTCCTCCTCTTCCGCCTCCTCCTCCGCCTCATCCTTCGCCTTCTCCTCCAATTCCTCTCCCCCGCTGGGTCCTTGCAATCTTGGCATCGCTTATGCTTGGATGGATGGAAGGAGGAGGGAAGATGGAGGAGCTTGCTAAAGAATCCAGCCGGCGAGGACAGCTCGTCTCATAGTGTAGAGTCGCTCTCGCCTCATGTGAACAATCAGGATGCGCCAACGGTGGTTTCAGCTACTGCGCCTGGCTCAAAGGAGCGGTATGCGGCAGCAGTTCAGCGGATTACTAATTTTCGAATGTCTGCCGTGCGGCGCATTGTGATACAGTGTTGGAGGACCGTCGAACGCGAGACGTGTCCCAACCGCATCCCGGCTATGGGCCAGCCTGACCCTCGCTGATCCGCTTTGTGATTTTTTCGATCGGGGAGCGGGGGTCTGGTGGGAGACGTATATTTCCCAGCATGGTCGTCACGCTTCGATGAGGCAGCAGAGTGTACGAATCGAAGCAGGTGTGAAGAGGGAGCGCGGGAATGAGCGACGTACAGTCGGGACGCTGACGAAGGAACTCTTTTCGTTTGGGAGGGGCTCCGTGTTCATTAGTTGTTTTACAGTGCTCCTGGAGTTCTCCTGAGGTCTCCCATGGAGAATCGGAGTTGAACTTATGGGAAAAAAGGGGCCTCGTTCCTTATTTAGGGTTCCTTGGGTCAACGCCCCAACTGTATCAGAGAGGCGCGTGAATGGCGAATGTATGAGGGGAGGGGGGGGGGGGAGGGGCACACGGGGCCACAAGTGGGCACTCGCGGGCACACCGGGAGGGCGGCAGATCGGGATCTCGCGGCCGGGAGGTGCTAGCTGCTGCGCGTGGGGTCCTGCGCCGGCCAGCCCTGAGCCGACGCAGCGCACTCGTAGCGTGCAGGTTTTCCTAGGGCCGCATCGAATCCTCACGGACGGGGCACTATTTGGTCTTGGCGCGTAGCGGGCTTGTCTTTTCAAGCCTCTTCAGTTGTTGCCTCGGGGGTGCCCACGGCAGAGGGCACGGTACAGGTGAGCACGCGACGAACTTCATATGCCCTGTGAGCAGACGCTATGCTTAGCGAATTCGAAGGGGACCGCCATATAGCGCGGGCCCACCCGCTCACTGAAGTGAGCTGGACGGGCGTGCACATGTCACGCGCGGTAAGATGCTTCAGAGCTCTTCTTTGCCTGCTCCTCCATCTGCGTCGTATCCCACCTTCATTGTCATTGCCGGCAGACAGCTTCCTGACGTAACATTAACTTTGCCCTGTTCCATGGTTCTTTGCTGTAGCAACCATTCGGCTGCCCCTCTTACTCCTCACAAGGTAGTGCGGATGTGCTGGCGGTGTATAAAGTGTAGGTTCTCTGTGCGTGCATAAGACACTCGCGGGGCCAATGTGGGAGTCGCACGTAGCAGATGTGTTGTGAGCGGCTGCAGGCAAATCTGATTGCTTCAAGGTCACCGTCGTTGTGATTTGGTGTGGCCTAGAGCGGTCGGCCCATCGCTCGGTGATTGGGAAGGACCCCACATCTCCCACTTGGAGTATATGTGTGCGCAGGCTTCGGCACTGTGGGGAGGTAGCTTTTCGGGCAATCAGGCGAGCTTGCGAACCCCTTTCTGAGCTTCAGCAGTTGATTGCTTTCTCTTCGAAGCGATTTCTGGTCTCTGCGCTGGACTGTCTACCTTGTAGACAACATCTTGGTTTTCTGGGGTATTATATAGGTATGTCTTGGATGGTTGCAGGCCTTTCTTTGGCGTGCCTTTAATCTTTACCTCAAGCCTACCTCCCCAACTACCTCCAATTAGCTTTGTTGCTAGCCCTATGGTTCGCCTGTTTCTTTGCCTTTCATCCCGGTTATATGTTAATTCTTCAGCAAAATACGGCACAACGTCCACACGCTCGCGCGCACATATCGAAATCAGATCTAACACATCAGTTCTGCAAGCATTTCAACACACCAACAGCAGACGCCCGCAGGTTTCTCATCGAACACGTTGCTAATTTTCTGCCCGTGCGCATTTGCTGAATTCACAAGTAAACCATGTGGTTCTAGCAGCTTAGTCCAGAGCCCGCATTCTCATCTTGCCACGCGGTGCGTCCACGTTGATCCAGCATGCGCCCAATGCGCGAATCCGTGTCAAATCGCATCAGGTTGGCCACACGCGCGATCCGCCACGGGCGCGTGTCGAATCCCCCATCTATTGGTCTTCGAGTCTTTTAGAGCTCTTCAAAAACGTATAGCACACCACATGCTTTCCTTTTCAGCCAGCAGCATGCCAAAGTGTTGAATTTCCGCGCAGGCTCTCACTTCCACACCGTAACTTTCGCCACCGCCGCCGAATCACGTCACAGTGATCGACCATCGCCGCCATGGCCGCCACCATCATTGAGCCCCTTCGTCACCCACACATGGATGTTTTCGTCAGCGTCGTCACCAGAATCGGCTCCGTCATTGGCCTTGCCGCCGTCATCATCATCGCCACCAACATCGCTTATGACACCATCGTTGCCGCCGTGTTCGACGTCATCATGATACCGAACCCTCCTGAATCACCGACCCGCATTGAAGTGCCCGCGCGCCAGCGCGGCTTTTGGGACGCGCTGGGGAAGTACCATCGGCAAGCGCCATCGCGGCCGCATCGGTTGTGCCGAAGCAGCTGGTCGCCCTGCGCGCGAACTTACGCGCGACACCCCAGCTGGAGAGATGTGCCAGCCAGGGTCAAGCAGCCATCGCAATCGCAGCCGCATGAGTTGTTCAAAACAAGCTGCGGGCTGGAGGGTGGGATGATTGCGGGAGCAGTGGAGTTGTCAATTCACGAATTGTCCCAAGCGGAGCACATAGCTTACACCACATAGCTTGCACCACATAATATACACATTCATGTTGCACTAACTTACTGTTTGGGGTCCACTCTGGCTAACGTGATTGTTTCCAGGGGTTCTGGCCTGTCTGATTCTTCGGCCCTTGCACTGCAAGGCTGTGCGAATCAAACTTCGTGCATCGAGTTGCCAAGTACATCAGAATCGCGGGGTGTCTGGTAATGTAGCGCCACAGCAATAATTGGCATGGATCGCACTAAGGGGAAAGGCAGGATCTCGCATGGCGAAGCAAAACATGGCATTCCGAATCAGAACAAAGTTGGGTAAGGCAAAACATGTCCAACGGTCCAACGGCGACAAGCTAGTTCAAACCAGTACAGGGCAAGGAATGGCCATGCCAGGGATAAGCCCAGCGCGCGGTAGATCACAGCAGGGCAGGGGGGGATAATGCAAGGCAGAGCACGAGAAGGCATGACAAAGCAAGGCCAAACACTGAAAAGGCAACTAATTGCATGACAAATCGTTGCCATGCAAGGGAACAAACACGGCAAGGCTGTGCTGGCAACCCGATGCATGGCCGGCCAAGGCAAAGCATGGCCTCAAATATGGGCAATGCGAGACCATTTTCTCAGCACTGCGGTTTTTGGCATGCCAAGCTCACCCTCGTGTCCAGGCAGGGGCTGCGCTGGTGGTCGTTCGATCTTGATTCACCGCCTTCGTTGCCGCCACTCGCAAAGTCTGAAGAACCAACTACACATAAACGTTTTGAAGTCCGCGCGGATTTCTTGGATCTGTGGTGAGAGCCCCCCAGCGGCGCCCTGGCGCCGCCCCAAGAAATCCGCGCGGACCTTCGACAGTTTATGGTCATGCAGCTTGTTTTTCTTCAAGTCCCTCCCTCTGTCCCAGGGCCCACTCCCATCCGACCGGTGCGATTCCATATCGATTCTGGCCAGCCCGGTCGATTCGATTTCGATGTCACTGTCCGGCTCGAAAGAGTCGATTCGATTCGATGCTGGTTCGATCTCGATTTCTAAGCGTGTGTTCTGGCACTCCTCCTGCCGCTCGCAGGGTGCAGCTGGACGACAGCGAGGGCTCCCTGGGGCTCCAGGACGTCACCATCGGCGCCAAGGTGGCCAGCATCCGGCTCGAGCGGCGGCTGGGCACCGGCAGGCCAGGCCGCTTTTTGTTCCCCCAACCAGCCTGTGGTTCGTAGCTTGAGTTGTGGCTCTGGGTAGGCATGCGGTGAGAACTTCAGGCATATCCCTCAGGACGTGCCCGTATGATTGCGCCCGTCCTGGCCGATCCGAGTCTGGAGCGTTACGCCGTCCGGTAAGCTGCCCGCTGGCGGTTCGCGTAAGCCTCGCGTAGGGCGTGGTGACGTCTACCTGGCCGGGGTCCGAAAACCTTGCAGGTATGGTGAGCCCGTGGCTGTGGACTATTTGGGCTCCAGGGGTCGCGTGCCCGGGTCGCGTTCCCGAGTCGCGTGCCGACCCCGAGGGATAAGGAGTGGCGAAGCGCCTTGGCCCGCTTGCTTGACGCAGGTTCGCCAGAGGATGTTCGAAGACCTTGTTTGTAGTTTGTCCGGTCTGTTCTTAGAGCATTTCTAGCTCGGACCGTCTTGGCTCCTTACATCTCTGCCACTCGCAGAGGGGGGTTAGGGGGAGGGGGGAAGGCTTCTTGGAAGCACCCCTGCCTCTGAGAAGGCGCGGGCCTTGTAGATGTAGGTCTGGCGCCTTCTAAGAAGCGGCCTCCTTCTAAGAAGCCTTTCCCCCCGCCCCTTACCCCTCTCTGCGTGCCGCCAAAACGGTACTCTCGTCCTTCGAATCTTCTTCTGTTCGAAGAGGATTTCGTGGTATGCCTACAGGAATGAGGGGACGGTCGGCCCTGCTCAAGTGGTGTCGGGCACTCGTCTTGAAGAGTCAGCGCTCCGCGTCACTCCTTCTTCCTCCCGCTCCTCCCCTCTCCTCCTCCGTCCCTCCTCCCATCTCTGCCCCGGCCCTCCGCATGTCGATGTCGGCACGCCCTTCACACGTTTCGTGGCGCTCCACCGAAGGCTCCTATGCCGGAGCCCACGCTGCGGCACCGCTCCATTTCGACACACCCCTGGCACGTTTCGTGGCCCTACAGGGAGCTCCACCGAAGGCCCCACTGGCAGCGCCCGCCTGGTGGCACCGCCCCACTTTGGCACATCCTCCGCACGTGTTGTGGCTCACGGAAGGCTTCGGTGGCAGTGCCCGCATGGCGGCCCCGCCCCGCTTTCGGCACAGCCTCACACGACTCGTGGCCACATGGGGAGCTCCCCCTCCGTCGTTCCGCTTACCCTGCGGCATTCGCACCTGCATCTGGTTAGGCCGTTCGCCGGAATATTTTTTGATGTCCGGGCGGGCGCTCGGGCGTAGTTTCGGCACTCCATGGGCCGATCTTTCAGGCCTTGTCAGCTGGCAGGTAATGGGCTTCAGCGCCAGCTTGGCTCAGCCAGAGCGCCGGATCCTCCAGGACCCTGCACGCTGGATATGGGTCGAGCTGGGTTTTGGGCCTGCTTATGGCCCTGGAGGTGGCCTCTCATGTTGGCCGAACCTGGTTTGGGACGCCCCACGAAGAGTTGCAGCGCAATCCAGACTGGCCGAGCCGAGTCTGCGCTGAGCCAGGTCAGTCCACGCCCGACCTGGGGGTCATCAGAGGTCATCAGGCGGTGCCGCGCCTCCAGTCCCCGGGCCCCTCCCTCCCCAAGTGCCTGGCAGGTTCATCCAAGCGCGCCCTCGAGGGCGCGAAGTTATTCGCGCTCCGCGCCTCGCGGTTCGGCTCCGATTCCCCCTCGTCCTCCTCTCCCCCCCCGGGAGGCGGCGCGAGAGCGCGAAGTTTTTCGCGCTTAGCGCAGCGCGCAGCGCGGGAGCGCGAAGTTGGGAGCCATTGGGAATCCTACGCGCCCCATCGAGGGGCAGCGCCCCCCGCTCCCCCCCCCAGACTGTGTCCCGGAGTCTTGGCCCCGAGTGCCAAGGGCTCCCCCGAGGGCGCGAAGTTATTCGCGCTTCTCGCTTCGCGGTCCTCGTTTCTCCTCCCCCTCCTCCTCGTCCTCCTTTTCTCCCTTTGGGGGGGCGGCGCGAGAGCGCGAAGTTATTCGCGCTTCGCGCTTCGCGGAGCGCGAAGCGCGAAGTTGGGAGCCCTGACAGTGCCGTGCTCACTCGTAGCACAGGGGCGCCCTCGAGGACGCGAAGAGTTCTTCGCGCTTCGCGCCTCGCGGTTCGGCTCCGAGGCCTCTTTCTCCTCCTCTTCTCCCCTGGGAGGCGGCGCGAGAGAGCGCGAAGTTTTTCGCGCTTCGCGCTTCGCGCAGCGCGAAGCGCGAAGTTTGGAGCCCTTGCATAGCGAATCATGGGGGTCGGTGGGTTTCACAGGGCCCTGGAACAAATGTCGGCCCTCATCTGCGCTGCCCCAGCTCTTCGTCACTGAGAGGGGTGTCGCTCAGGGGGGATATGCGATGCACGATCGAGTATGGTATATAGACGTTTACGGTCGATGTTTGGAGACTTTTTCCCCAGGGGACCCCGGCAAAACCAGCCAAACCTGGCCTGTAGGCGGGACTTTTGCCCCAGGGGACCCCAGCAAAAGCAGCCAAACCCGTAAGGACTGTAGATCAATGAGCCACCCACAGGGCATACATTTCACCAGCAAGATGTTGGAAAACCTTTCCTGTGAAACTGCACCGTCCACGCGCCCCCGCGCCCGACAGCCGCTTTGGCTTGAGCCGCGTGGGTCCCCTGCTTCGCCCCCGCCCGCCCGTACCCAGGGCGGCAGGGGACAGGGAGTTGGGAGGTTTCTGGCACGGAGCGTTCTGGCTGCTAGCCGAGGTCTACTTGTGCACCATGTGTTTTTACAGGGCGGCTGTAGTACCGGTGCCTCTGCCACATGGGTGGCAGCTGTAAGGAGCAGGCTGTTCGAAGCCACTTCCGGCGTAGTGGCCCACACTGGGCAGCCGCGGACGTCGTAGTGCTGCCCGCGGGTCAGGCGTCAGCCATGAACCCTGCTGGTTCGGCTGCTGCCGCGCTGTTGTCAGCCTGGCGCGCGTCGACGCTTCATGTCGTGCACCAGCCAGCGAGCAGCTGTCCGCTTGCAGCGCTGTGACCGCCTGGTGCCTAGGCACCGTATGTCAGCGAGCGAAGAACGGTATAAAATAGACTTTTTCGCTGTCGGGGGCGCCTGTCCCTGGGCGGCTGGAAAGTTTATACCCCTACGGTGCCACCGTAAGGGTATAAACTTTCCAGCCGCCCAGGGACAGGCGCCCCCGACAGCGAAAAAGTTTATTTTATACCGTTCTCCGCCCGTTAAGTATGGTCTTGCACAGGGGCGCAGTGAGGGAAAGGACCGAGGCTTGACCACCCTCTGGCCCTCCCCGCTAGAGGCGCACCTGCGCGGCGGCGGCGCGCCGTGGTGGCGTGCCCCTCTCATAGCCCGCGCGGGGAGTGTGAGGCTCCGACGATGGATAGGCCGAGCTTCGCCCGGAGGCCGCACGGAAGCCCTGCCAGGGCTCGCGGCCAGGCTCGTGACGTGCCCCTGCTTAGCCTTCTGTTGGCGGCGCGCAAAGGGGGGTAGGGGGAGGGGGGAAGGCTTCTTAGGAGCACCCTGCTTCTTAGAAGGCCTCGGCCTTACGTCCATAGAGAAGGCCCGCGCCTTCTAAGAAGCAGGGGTGCTTCTAAGAAGCCTTCCCCCCTCCCCCTATTTTGGTTGCAGGGGCTTCGCGCGGGCCCAGCTGGGCGCGTCCCAGAGCTTGCAGTTGTGGCCACAGCGCCCCGCGGCCGGGCCAGTGCGTCCACGTGCCGCGCAGCCAGGCCCATAGGCAAGGGCTCCCTCGAGGGCGCGAAGTTATTCGCGCTTCGCGCTTCGCGGTCCTCGTTCCTTCTCCCCCTCCTCCTCGTCCTCCTATTCTCCCTTTGGGAGGGCGGCGCGAGAGCGCGAAGTTATTCGCGCTTCGCGCTTCGCGCAGCGCGAAGCGCGAAGTTGGGAGCCCTAGCATAGGCGCCACGACGGGCTCATCTGGGACACCCGCCGACGTGCATGATGGGGCTGCGCAGGGCCTCGCGCGATTCGATGCCAGTGTGGCGCATGGGAGCGGCCAGGCGTCGCGGGCCTCCTCTTATGACATCCCATGTGCCGGCTACATCGGCTCGGTCGCCTCCTGTGGCTTTCGGTTTGCGGCATGCCATCATCATCATCATCATCATCATCATCATCATCATCAGCAGCAGCAGCAGCAGCAGCAGCATCATCACCAGCAGCATCATCACCACCACCATCATCATCATCAGCAGCAGCAGCATCAGCATCAGCATCAGCATCAGAGCATCATCAGCATCAGCATCAATATTAGCATCATCATCGTCATCATCATCATCATCTTCACCGCCACCACCACCATCATCAATAACAACATCGTCACCACCACCATCATTCCCGAAAGGGGTACCTAAGGCGTTCCACCCACGTCGTTCTTCTTCTTCTTCTTCTTCTTCTTCCGTTGCGCTTTCTCACTGAGCCAGAGCCAGCGTTCTCTGCAGGCTCCGCACTGCATTGCCAGCTTCCTTGCAATCGTGCTCAAGGTTCGACTTCAGCCGCTTCGAATCGAATCATCATGATCACCTCAACCACCATACCACCAGCTTCATCATCATCATCTTTATCTTCACCATCAACATTACCATCGTCATCATCATCGTCATCATCACCACCATCGTCATCATCACCATCACCATTATCGCCATCATCATCATCATCATCATCATCATCATCATCATCATCATCATCATCATCATCATCATCATCATCATCATCATCATCATCATCGTCGTCTTTATCATCGTCATCATCATCAACATCACCATCATTACAACACCAGTCATCATCATCTCACCCTCGGCACTTGTGCCAGAGGCCTGTGAGTTAAGGGCCACTGCCAAGCAAGCCCAACTAACTGCGAAGGCTCTTTATAATGTCGAGCCCCCTCCCCCAAAGCTATCGGATGGAAATAGAAACTCGTCCCTACTCCACCCAGCTCCGACCCCAGTGTCTGCCCCAGTTTCGACTCCGACATCGACACGGTGCAGCGAACGCGACAGGGGGAGGACAAATCTTGCCCCCCCTCACCACATCAAGCACCACGACGTCGAACACCGCGACTT